TGGGTACACGGGGCTCCAGCAGCGCCCTGGACCCTGTCCTCGCCCTGCAACCCCCTGGCATCCCCTTTACCCTCCAGTGCTTTGACAGTTCTCTCTCTTGTCTCCTCCTGGCTTCCTCTCTGTCTGGGCCAGGCTCCAGGGGGGCTTTCCTCAGGGGCTGAGGAAAGTCCCTGGATGGACCATAGGCCCCCATTACATCAAAGATTTTCCTGACCACCTGCAGGTCAATTTTGGAGAGAAACCTCTTGAAACAACTGAGGAGACTGAGGCCCCGAGAGGAAACAGCCAAGAGTTGGGGCCCGGTAGGCTGCTGACTTCAGCCACAGGAGGAGGGAGATGCAGAGCCTCACATGACCCGGACTCACACAAATGCTCAAAGACCAAGAGATTAAAAAATATCCTCAGACATTTCCGGACACCAAACCCACAGAACCACAGATCAAGACTCCCTCCCTCAAACCACAGACATGCATGTCTGGCCAAGGGAAAGGAAAGACACAGTAAGACCCCCCCCAAGACAGAACCATTAAGCCAACCACAATACACAAGCCCTAAAACATGCATGTTCAAACACACATAGATTTGCAGATCTCGAGAGGCAATTACAGACATCCACGCACTGCACCCTGGGAGCCCCCTGTGTCCTGTCATGAGCCTCACTCACTCTATTCCAGCTCTGAGCCAGGACCCCAGAGGGGTATCAAATCCAAGCGCTGCCCTGGATGCTCCACTTCTGAGAACAGGGAGGTGATCACAGCTCAGTGTGACAGTGAACCAAGCCTGCCACAGGGCACCGGCACACATGCAGGCTGGCATGCTCCCCAGCCTCAGCCACCGCTCCTGATGGCACCAGCCAGAAAGTCAGCACCCTCGCCTACCTGTCAAGCCTTCCCTCCCTGTTCACCCATCACCCATTGCACACCCCTCCTGACCCCTTCCAGGGCTGGGTGCTGGGAAAGCAGCAATGATCAAGGCAGCCCTGGGATCCATCCCACTGGGTTCAGAGTCTGGTGGGAGAGGGAGATCCATTCCAGACCATGAGCTCACAGGACTGGGATGGGGGTCCCAGTTGGGGTATGGGAGCACAAAGTAGGTGCCTGACCCAGCCTGGGGGTCAGGGAGGCACTAATACTGAGATCTGAAGCCTGCACGGGAGTGTGTCACAGCCTCTAGGGAGTTGCCTGCCCAGCTGAAGGACAAGCCTACCCAAAGACCCCGAGCTGAGAGAAGGTTCATTCATCCAGTGATTTGCTCAATCTTGACCCTAGGCCACACCCTGTCCTGATTCAGCTGTGTGACTCATGCGGACTCCTGCTCTCCTAAGAGGCCCAGGCTGGTGGGAGCAAAGGTGGAGAAGGCCAAGCTGATGAGTCCCATGGTGCCCCGTGAATATTTGCAATAACGTGTGTTACGGTTTGGAGGTGAGGTGTCCCCTGAAAGCTCATGAGTGAGACAATGAGACAAGGTTCAGAGGGAAATGGTTGGGTTGCGAGAGCCTTAACCCAATCAGTGAATCGGTCCCCTGATGGGATTAAATGGGTGTTCGCTGGAGGCAGGTGGGGCATTGGGGGCGTGGCTCTGGGGTATATATTTGTATCTGGAGCGTGGAGTCTCTCTCTGCTTCCTAATCATCAAGTGAACTGCTTCCCTCTTCCACGCTCTTCCACCATGATGCCTCACCTCGAGCCCCAAGGAACGGAGCCTGTTGCCTAGGGACTGAGACCTCTGACACTGTGAGCCCTCAAATAAATTTTTCTTCTTCTACAGTTGCTCTGTTCCAGTGCTTTAGTCACAGCAGCGAAAAAGCTGACTAAAACAACGTGGCACTGCTTTAAAGCACATCAGGGGGAGTGATTCATTTCACTGGGAGTAGAATTCTTTGCTTCTGTCATCCCCAGACAGACAACCCCAAGCTGGGGCTAGGGGCACAGCTCAGTGACAGAGCATGTGCTTAACACGTGTGAGGCCCTGGGTTCGGCCCCCAGTGCTGCTAAACAAAACAGCCCAGGGGCCGAGACTGCTAAAAGCAGTAATTTTCTGTATATGTTCCTTATTAAAAATGATGATGTTCAGGGTTGGGTGTGCAGATTTATAAATGTGTACAAATGAGAGTCATATTCCCTTCTTCCACAGGTTTCCCATATAACTAAATCCAAGGTGCCACTGCTTGTCAGACACCTTCTTTTTGGTCCCACTAACAAAGATATCACCAATAGAATGATGCCACGATATTTCCTTACTATTTAAATTTTTATTTTATAGTTACCGGAGAGCTCCTGGTAAACTTATTTAGGAAACACAGATCCTCAGCATACATCAGTTGGGTGTACATGTAACAGAACAACTGCGTCTCATTCTTTGGAGTCACTTTGCCTCTGAGTCATTGACTTCCACACTGCTCAGCCTCCTCACCTCAGAAGCCCAGATGATGCTACTCCATTGTCACATCCAGGCAGTGACAGCCACGTCACAATGGCTTCCTGGCTGACAGTGATGACAGCACCATCATCTGTTACACTTCCTGATTTCAGAATTGTTACGATTAAAAAAGAAAAAAAAAAGTGCATCTTAGAATCAACAAAAGGTGTTTCCTGAGTGTTCACTTTGTGTCCGGCCAGGGTGGGGACCTGGAGTGGCCATGCCCCACCAGGAGGAAGTCAAGGCAACATACACTTGCCAAGGACCCCGTTGGTTGATGTTCAGGACCCAGTGATGACTGCGACAGCCCTGACCCTGTACCCACAGGACTCAGAGTCCAGGGGTTCCCAGACAGTGACATTGTGCCTGGTTAAGGTGGGAATGGAATTACCCAGGTGTGTGGGAGCCAGGGGGTTATCTGATCCTGTGTAGCAGGCCTGTGGGAGAAAATTCACCTGTCCAGCTTAGCCAGCCACCCATAGACTTGTGAGACAGAAGCCAGAAATGAAAGAGGGGACCCTTTTGCATTCAGTACTGTAGTATGGTCAGAGCTGGGTCAAAGACTGAGGCAGTGGCTTTGAATGCAAATTTTAAGGGGGTGCCAAGATTAAGCTTTTTGTTTTTTTGGTACTGGGGATTTAACCCAGGAGCACTTTGACCATTAACCATTGAACTACATCCCTAGCTCTTTTATTTATTTTTTAATTTTTTGAGACAGGGTCTTGTTAAACTACTTAGGGTCTCACTAAGTTACTGAGATCCTCCTGCCTCAGCCTCCCAAGTTGCTGGGATTATAGGTATGCACCACTACACCCTGCAAGATAAATTATTTTTTATTATTTGGTTGTAGATGGACACAATACCTTTATTTATTTTTTTTTTAAAGAGAGAGAATTTTTTTAATGTTTTTCGGTTTTCGGTGGACACAACATCTTTATTTTATTTTATGTGGTGCTGAGGATCGAACCCAGTGCCCCATGCAAGCCAGGCGAGCGTGTTACGGCTTGAGCCACATCCCCAGCCCAATATTTAATTTTTATATGGTGCTGAGGATCAAATCAGTGCCTTACACGTTCCAAGCAAGAGCTTTACCACTGAGCCACAACCCCAGCCTCAGATAAATTATTTCTCATGCAATCTTCTAACAAATCAAAATTATTCATGATGTTTTCCTGAATAAAATGTCAAAAATTTTAATAGAGACCTAAGCCATGTCCATGTCAAAAGCAAAAGGAAATGTGAACATGCCAACTCTGATGGGAACAAACTCATGGATAAGTTTTAATTCTTATAATTCATTATAATTTTTTTCTTTAATCATGAAAAATTTATTAATGGGACTGGGGCTGCAGCTAAGTGGTAGAGCACTTGCCTAGCATTGTGAGGTACTGGGTTCAATTCTCAACACCACATATAAATATATAAATTAAAGTTGATCAACAACTAAAAATATCTTTAAAAAATGTATTAGTTACAGACGTGTGAAGTAAAAGATTTCACACATACTGTTTGTGAACAGGTATAAGTTACGAATCTGCTAGTGTTGAATGTTAAGCAAAATAATAAAACTATTGAAATATTAGTGACTCCCCCCCGCCCACTATTGGGGATTGAACCCATGAGTGCTCTATCACTGAGCTACATTATTTTTTATAATGCCCAATTAATGTCTGGTTTCATTTCTCAATTTCCTTTTAGCCTATTATTTATATAAGGCCTGTTTGAATGCTGAAAGCAGTAATTTTCTATATATGTCCCTTACACAAAATGATATTCAATGTTGGGTGTGCAGATTTATAAATATGTACAAATAAACAATATATTTGTGTCAACCTATACTCTGACCAGTGCCTGACAGATGGAAGCATCATATGTGCATAAAAATGTGAAATTAAAATAAAATTCTCAAAATAGTTAACAATTAATTTGTGTTTAATAAAACTATACAGAAAGAAAAGCTTTGTGCTTAAGAACCTTCAGTGGCCCACTAATTAAATAGTAATTTTAGTGTGTGTGGGGGGGAAATGCCCCAAACCCAAAAAGACTAGGTAAAGCAGATGTCTTGGTTAAATGTCTCTAGACAGTCACCTTAAAATCACACTGATAAACATAAATACATGATTCGTTCACCAAGCATAAAGTATTGCGCAAGAGCAGTTTTATCTGGGAAAAAAATGCAATTTTCCATCGTTTTGAATTTCAAAATGGTTCCCAGATTTAAATATGATTGTATTTTCTAAAGAAGAAACATTTATATTCAGTAATGCTGTTAGAACCTGATTTTACCCATTGATCATATTCCAGTCTACTTTGTGGCAAAGAAAAATCAGTGGTGACGATTTGGCAAAGATAAAGGCAGATGAGATTGTAAAACAAAATACACACACAAGAAACATATTCCAAAAATCCCTAACCATACGGTGCCTGTTCCCTGGAAGAAACCCACAGCCTAGGTCACGGTGACGGCCAGACTGTGACTCTCTTCCTTTTGAACCATTTGGTTGCTCTCTGGTCTGCAGCACCCTGTCTTCGGTTTTGCTCTCACCACCATCTGCCACAGTCAGGTCCAGAGGCATCATCTCTTACCAAATGGTTGACAGTGTGGGTTGCATCCAAAAGGGGGTGGTGCGCTGGGCCCATGGCCCGAAGAAGAGGGCTTTCCCAGCGAGCTGGAGCCCTGCGGTCCCCCCCAGCCCCGCAGGCGGGGAAAGCAGGGAAAGGCAATTGGTCTGGGAAACTCCTCCAACCGGCTGGACACCAGGGTTCAGGATTCCGAGCTCCTGACTCAGCTTTGCCATCTGATCTTCCAGTCCCCTGGTGCACTGTTAGACGGACACAGGGGGTTAAGCTGTCCTGCAAGCTTCCCTTCTTTCTGGATTTCAAGCTCAGGAACATGGGACTGTAATTCTGCTTCCCCCACCCATCTCAAGCCTCCGCTCCTTCCTCGTTTGTGCCCTCAAGTTCGGCTCATGTGTGCTTTGCGTGGCTTAACTGGTAAAGTAGTCTCGGCTCTGTACTGAGCCATCCTGCGCCTTCTCCTGCGGACTTCTATTCTAGGCTTCCAAGGTGGTTACTAATGATTCTGCTCTGTTTCCATTTCCACCATCCTTTGTTTCATTTCTCCTACTTCTGCCTGTGTTTCAGCTCCTCTAAGTTGAAGGGTCATCTGTTCACCCATTTTTCTTAGGCGGGTCTTTCCATCTCCCGGTTGCACCAGCGAAGTGGTGCAGCCCACTTTCTTTGGAGTTCTTGACTTGCTTTCTCAGTTCTTTCAACCTCTGATGGCTTCTGCTTCTCAGTTTCACAGCGATGAGTTGCTCCCGAAGCCTGTGATGTAATTCTCATCAGGAAAGGCCATTGGTCCTCTTGTCTATTTCCAGTTCTTTATCTTGCATCTCTTTTACTGCACACAGAGGCTCGGCTTCCCCCAGTCTTGCTTGGACCAGTTCCTTCTCTAGCTGTAACACAGAATCTTCACTGTAGTTGGAACTGCATTTAGGTTTTTCTAGTATTTCAATGCACTATTTTGTTTTTCCCCTGGTAGGAGGGTACCAGGGATTGACCTCAGGGGCAGTCGACCACAGAGCCACATCCCCAGCCCCATTTAGTCTTTTATTTAGAGACAGGGTCTCACTGAGTTGCTTAGGGCCTGGCTCAGTTGCTGAGGCTGGCTTTGAACTCTCCTGCCTCCTGTCTCAGCCTCAGCCTCCTCAGCTGCTGGGATTACAGGAGTGCGCCACCTCGCCCGGCTCAATGCGCTCTTTTTAAAGCCTTTTTCTTGTGCATAATATTTTATTATCAACTTGCTGATCCATGTCTTTAATTTTTATTGAGCATTCTTTTTCAAGCTTTTTCTTTTTCTTTTGTTTTCTGAGTTGTATTTGACTTGGTAAAATGCTTGGATTAATTTGTCTGGAACCACCTTCAAAGGGATGTGAAATGACCTGAAAGTGCTGTTACATCCCTTCCATGTCAAGTTGCATTAATTCTGCCTGATTCATTTGCAGAAGCCCCAATTCTGCTTGAATCACTATTTCTAAATCCTCAGACAGAAAGATATCACACACACCCTTGTTGCAATTGGTAGTAGAAAAGTTGGAAGAAAGATTGTCAGGACCTCACTAAGTTTCTGAGGCTGGCTTTGAACTTGAGATGCTCCTGTCTCAGCCTCCTGGGTAGCTGGGGTTACTGGTCTCCACCACCATGAGTGGCCATACTTGGTTTTAAAAGTTCATGAAGTCTATAATCTTGCATTAATTTAGCAAATATCCACAGCACTTCTTCTGGCACCTGCATAAGCAAGAATCCAACTATAGAACAATTCTATGACCTTGACCAACCCTAAAGAATATGATTTCATCACATTACATGAAATCTCCCATCCAAAGCTTTTTCCTTAAAAAATTGTGTTGGGTGTAACTTTTGCAACATCCCTTCAGCTCAGTTTTTTCACCAGGAGGGGTCATCTTCAGGAGTTCTGAATGCTGATCTCTTACTGGCATTCTTTGTGCTCTGCAGAAAAGTTGCCCAACTCTTCCTCTAACACGGTGGGTTATTCCTTTATGAACCAGTTCCTTATCTTGCTTTGCCTTCGTTGTGTTTGTGTACACATCTTCCCGTGCATTAACTGTTCTTCCCTGAAAAGAACCCAAGAATCTGCTTCAAGGAGGCTGAAGTTTGCTGGAGGCTGTTAAACTTGAAGCAAGAGAGAAGCCGCTTCTTGAGAGATGCTTGCTTCTTCTGGGCCCCCCAAACAGATCTTAAAGGGTTACACTTGCCTCTAACAATCGATTTTGTTCCTCCAGTCCAGCCGGGAGTTCTGGACTCAACCGGGATGGGAGGATGGTGAAAGGGCTGGTGCTGACAGCGTGGTAGGTGAGGCTGTCGTGTAAGTGAAGCAGAAGGACTTGCCACCTGACTGGCCACCTGCCTGTGTGCGACACTGTGCTCCTCAACTATGACAGAGTAGAACTCAGCTTTTCTGCAACCTTGGAAACGTCGGGTGGACATCACCAGAAACATTAACTTCCCACCCAGCCTGCACAGCGCCCTTCCAGCACCTCCAACACGCCCAGCTCCGCAGACACTTGCCCTCGGAACCCTTTCAAGGCATTTGCCACATGCTGTATGCCAGGCCGTGGCTGGCTGAGCTGGAGACACAGCAGTGACCACAGTCCCTAGATGGCCCCTCATGAAGCTCATAGAACTCCGCCTTTCTTCTCCCTACCATTTCTCCTGCCCACTCCTGATCCTTCTCTTTCCCTCCCTGTCGGGAGCTGCTCTGAAAATACAAGCCCTTAAGCCCCGAGCAAGAGATTCTGAACCATCCTTGCACCCTGTGATTACTTGGGCTTTACCTCTGCTTGGATAATGAGGCGTGGCCCCAGGAGTAGGTGTCACCTGGTGGGGTTGAGTTGCACTGTTCCTTTGTAATCCTACCCCTTGCCTCATTTGAATGGCTTCTCCCCAATAAAACCAGGTTCGAGGCTGCTCTCTCTCTTTCTTGCCTGCCTTGCCTCCTTTGCAGGACCTGGGTCAGAGGAGCCATCAGAGAACCCAAAGAAAAAGGTATTTCTCTGTCTCTGTGTCATTATTTCATGCCAGCCCAGTTCACCTGGAGTGACTCTGACTGGTTTAGTTGTGTGTCACGGCACCTCCCTGTCCCTTCTTGCTATTAGAAATCCTTTTATTTGGGGGGAATATTGGGGATTGAACCCAGTAGTGATTAACCACTGAGCCACATCCCCAGCCCTTTCTAATTTTCATTTTGTGACAGGGTCTCACTAAATTGCTTAGGGCCTGGCTCAGCTGCTGAGTCTGACTTTGAACTTGTGATCCTCTTGTCTCAGACTCCTGAGTCGCTGGGATTACAGGTGTGTGCCACCATGCCTGGGTCTCTCTTAAAAATTCTAAAGCATTTGCCTAGGAATGTCTACACATCACGGCCTTCATTCCCCCCATAACCCTTAAGTTAATCCACAGGGAATCATTCATTCATACAGTGGGGAATGAGTCACAGATGGTCCTTACTCTCATGGGGCTTATAGATTTGAAAAATATAGATAATAAACAAAAATAATTAAGATAGTACCCAGTTCCAGGCATGTTGGTGCATCCCTGTAATCTCAGTGACTCTGGAGGCTGAGGCAAAAGTATTGAAAATTTGAGGCCAGCCTCGGCAATTTAGCAAGACTATAAGCAACTTAGAACTTGTTTCAAATTTTTTAAAATGGGGGGAGTTCTGGAGAAAGTGCTCCTGGGTTCAATCTCCAGTACAAAAAAAAAGAAAAAGAAAAAGAAAAGAAATTAAGAAAGAAAAACAGAGAAGAAAATAAAAAGAAAGCCAGGGTAAGGGGAGAGGCTTAGAAGAAGCAAAGAGCACCACCCTCAATTCCCCCATCCTTGTGGGCACATGCCATTCTTTTTCCTAGTAAGAGACAGTTTCCTTCCCCTTCCTTGAATTTGGGCCAGCCCCCCACGACTTGTTTTGATTAACAGGATGTGACAGAAGCAACATTCTGAGAACTGCAAGTCTAGGTCATCAGAGGTACTGGCTTCTGCTTTCTCCTTCTTGAATCCCTGAGGGGCCATGTCTGTGGAGAGACCCAGGGAGAGACAGCAGTTGCCCAGAGATGAGCTGAAGCCATCTTGAACATTCCGGCCACAACTGGACTCCAGCTGAATGCAGCCATAGGAGTGGCCCCAGTCAACTCTGGGGGGTAAAAGAACCACCAGGCAGAGCCCATCCAACCCTCAGACTAGTGAGAAGTACACCAGGAACACAGGGGGCCCTTCTGCATCCAGTGATACAGTCTGGTCAGAACTGGGGCCCACACTGAGGAAGGGGCCTAGTGCACAAATTGAAGCGGGTGCTAAAAAGCTCAGTGGCCAAGACACATATTTTTAATGCAATCTTTTAACACATCAAAATTAATGCAGAAAATCCATGATGTTTTGCTGAACAAAATGTCAAGGTTTTAAATAAAGGCTGGTGCCATGTCCCAAGCCAAGTTGGTACTTGAAGCAAAAGGAAAAGTGTCCGGCCTGGCTTTGTTGGAGACAAACTCAGGGATGACATTTTTAAAACCTACTCTTTCATTTTCATTTGAGAGAATTTCCATGCTTGACCATTTCTCTGGACCAAGTGATGATACTAAATCATTTTTTTTTAAATCAACTTGGGCTGAAATAAAATTATAATACATTTTATTTTGGTATAATTGAAACTCAGTGTGAGTTTTGACATATCCACTTTATAACTTTTCAACTGTTTTGTCTGATATTCCCGGGGGAAATCAGTCCTTAAAAAAAATGCATGAATTCGGGACTGAGGTTGCCGCAGTCTGGCTGGGCACAATCAGAAGCCACTTGTCAAAAGTAACTAACTTTATTTTTAGAACAAAACACGCCAAACAAACAGCCTCTCAGGAAAAACCCCTCAGAGCCCAACTGCCACCATCGGCTTTCCACACGCCTGTCTCTCCCCCCACAAGCTTCTCTCCACCTCCCACAATCCTCCTGCTCTTGAGGCCGATTGGCTGGGTCACGTGGGCAGAGCCAAAAAGTCCCCCAATGAGCAGCTCCGTGGTCTGAAAGGGCAGGGAAACAGTCCAATGAGCATCACCGCAGAGGAGCCAATCAGCTAGATGTTGCTGGGGCCGAGGAGCCAATCAGCTAGATGTTGCTGGGGCCGCTGTGAGCCAATCATCAGCCGGCAGCTGGATTGCTGGCAGCTGGAAGTTTGCTGGGGCCCCTTCGGCTGTGGCTCTCAACAGAGGTAGCTCAGTGGTAGTGTGCTTGCCTGGCGTGTGTGAGGCACTGGGTTTGATTCTTGGCACCACATATAAATAAGTAAAAATAAAGATCCATTGCAACTAAAAAATATTTTTTAAAAAATGCATGAATTCACTAATAGGGACACAGGAGCATAAGGCCTTTTTGTATCAGGCCCAATGTGGCTTGGAACAGCATTGATCAGAACCCTAAGCTGTCCCTGCCAAAGGCTCAGGTGACAGGGTAGAGAGGAGCCAGGGGGAGGGCTGAGCAGTCTGATTCTGCCTGACTAGAGAAGCAGGGGTCCCTCAGGCAGATGGGCTCAGGAAGAAACCCTGAGGCCCCTCCAGCGTCGCCCGATGGTAAAATAAATGCACACGTTGACTTGAACCCAGCACCTGCTCCTGAGAACCCATTCCACTGACCTTTTCAGGACAGAAGTAACTTAATCGCCTGCTCCTGGGGTCTATCTACAGGGGAGAAAGGATGTCCAAGGGGCTCCTCTGGGTAGAGATGAACCCAGGATGTGGGGGCCACTATTTCTTACTTTTAATTTTTCACTGAAAATTTTAATATCATTTTATTATATGTTTTAGAAAATTATTTAAGTGTATGAAAGGGCTATGTCATCCAAGCTTTTCAAATTTATTGTAAACTCTTTACAACGGGTAAAAACATAACAGATAATACACGTCATGCCGTCATCAGGATGTTTACCACTGAATCTTTCATCGTGGGAGGAAGAAAAAGGGAAATTGAGTGAGTTTCTCACAATAGGACAGGAAAAAAAAAAAAAAGGAAACTGCGTGAGTTCTCTTCAAAAGGACAATGACGGAGTAAATCTGGGTACCTACACTCCATAGGTCATGAAACCGCGCCATACGGTCATTAAGACCTAGGAATTGAATGACTTAGAGGATTTCCAAGTACTGAAAAGTAGGATGCAGAGAGCTCTGACTAGTATCTTCTTCTTCTTTTTCTCCTCCTCCTCCTCCTTCTTTTAGTTGTAGTTGGACACAACACCTCTATTTTATTTATTTATATGTGGTGCTGAGGTTCAAACCCAGAGCTGGCCCATTCCTCGCAACAAAAACACTCAGGGTCACTCCAGGGGAACTGGGCTGCATGAAATAATCACACAAGAGACAGAGATACCTTTTTCTTTGGGGGTATTGTGACAGTTCCTCTAATCTTAAGGGTCCACAGAAAGAAAGAGAGAGAGAGAGAGAGCGCGAGAGCGAGAGTGCACACGTGCTGACCCCTTTTATTGAGGAGAAGCTATTCAAATGAGGCAAGGGGTCAGGTCAGGCTGAGTCTAGCTTAGTGATGTCCACTGTCAGCAGGTTGACTGACATCTAGGAAGGCCACACACAAAGGCAGAGTAAGAGAAGGGGACCCACAAAGGGCGTTTCCATGGAACATTCTATCCCAAACAGAGCAAAGGGGTAGTATCACAAAGGAACAGGTGAGCGTAGCGCCACCCATGGGGCTGCAGGAAGGCGCACTGTGCTACTTCCAGGATCAGGGCATCCGTCTAGGGCCACTACAAATGTGAGCAGATCCACTACGAAAGTGACCGACAGAGCCTCTATCGACCTCAGGAAGGAAAATGCTGGTCACTCAGCACGACGGCCCCCCACCCAGGGCCTCTCACATGCTAGGTGAGCGCCCTGCCACTGAGTCCCAGCCCCAGCCCGTGACTAGCATCTTATTTTTGGAAGATAAATAATTCCCATAATCCTGTGTATGAGGACACACACACACACACATATATATCTCGACGGATGTGTAAATGTATACATAGGATTGCTTAAGTTCGGAAGACAATGGGAAGAGCTATACCAGTATGGATCTGACATGTCCCTCAAAAGTGCCTGTGTTGAAGGCCTTGTCCTGGGAGTGTGGCACTAGTGGGAGATGGTGGAACCTAGCTGGTCCCAGTTGGAGGAAGTCACCTCATCAAGGGAGTGCCCTTGAAAAGGATTTTGGAACCCTTGCCCCCCTTCCTGTCTTTCTCTTTGCGTTCCAGTTGCCACCAGCCGAGCAGCTTCCTGTGCCTTGATGTTCTGCCTCGAAAACACCCAAAGCCAAGGGCCAATCAGGAACTGAAACCTCTGAAACTGAGAGCCAAAATAACCTTTCCTCTCAACTTAAGCCTCAATTTCTTGTCCTTTATAATGCAGATAAATAATAGTACAGTTGTCCTGATTATTAG